ATGAAGAACGTGAAACTAATTTGCTCGCTTATGAAATAACCTTGAGTCTCTGGTATCAGTTTTCATAGTTCTGAGCAAATTAAGCAAAACAAAACAAAACAAAAAGGAATAGCAGATATGTATACTGTTTGTGTTTGACAAAATTGCCTTGAGGAAGCAATATTGGTAATAAAGTATTACTATCATTTAAAATCTCTGAAATAAAACAATTCATAATAAAAACGGCAACCAAATAAATAAATACGAATTCACCATGAATGAGAGCCCGGAGCCTTTTTTTTTTTTTTTTTTCACAAAAGGTGATCTTAATTTGGTTCAAAGTACGTGAGTGAAAAGCTTTGTGTTTTGAATGTGCGTTACACGGCTGATGTAACTGCAAATCATCGGTTTACACACCAACAAATTTAACATGCATTTATTCATACGAGACGCAATTTAAATGCGCCCATGGACCAGTAAAGGCAGGCAAAGGAAAGCCTAGTATTTCAATAATGTGCTCTACAACTCATTTGTGTTGGACTGTTTTTTTTTCAGATGTTATTTATGTTGAGTGAAAATAAGGTCAAACTGAATTTGATTCAAGTAAATTATATCTTGTCAGCCGTCGGAACGCACTTAATTAAATAAGTCAATGCTGTTTCCAGTTAAAACTTATGTTTGAACCGTGGAAAACAGTCTTCAGCAGATTTAGTAAATAAATAAATAAATAAATAAAATCAACCTTGCTAAAAAAAAAAAACTACCTGTTTTTTTTTTTTTTTTTAAACTTAATGAAGCTTTTTTTCTGCATAGTACAGTCAGGTCAGTCATTAATAACAGATGCTAGCGATTTTTCTTCGTACAATCCATGTATTGTAACTGCACTGTGTGAGGTGCTGCATTCTGGTATTATCCTCAAGGGAAAATTAAGTGCACTCCTCGAGATGTAGAATATCATGAGAAGCTTGGTTTCTCTTGGCTGCTGCTGAATGCAGTTCCCACCAACTGGGATTTGACTTACTATCCTGGGAACAGAATGTAGAATATTTTTCCCTGAGACTCCCTTGGGTATACCCACTTAATACAACTTGTGGGTTTGTGTATAATTGTCTATGCTTCACAAATATATGAGGTGTGCCAGTAAAGTTCCAGGGCTCGTGTCACAAAAAGAAATACCATATATTTCGCACAATCAGGCGCACCTAAAAGCATTCAATTCTCTCAAAAGCCGACAGTGCGCCCTATAATCCGCCTTATATATGGAGTTACAGTCTCTTTGTATTCCCCACTGAATTGTTTCCCTGTTAGTGTTCCGATGCCACCTCGTGGTGATTATTAGCAGAAACCAATTGTTACCTAAAAGGGTTCTGCCCGACACTAATTGACATGTGCAGTCGCCAACACACGCTCAGTCAGACAGTCCATCAATGGGGAACTGGGACCTGTACTTGCTCACCAACAGACCACAGACTGTCAGGATCCACAGCACCATCTCCTCCATGACCCTCAGAACTAGCTCTCCCCAGGGCTGTGTGCTAAGCCCCCTCCGTTTCACACTACTGGCCTATGACTGCTCTGTGAAATTCCTGAGTTGTCATGCAGTGAAGTTTGCAGAGAACGTAGCGGTAGTGGGACTCATCACGGACAACGATGAGTGCAAGTACAGCGAGGAGGTAGATCTGGTGGACTGGTGCAAAGGTAACAACCTTTGAAGACCAAGGAGATGGTGTTGAGATGCCCTCCCAAGCACATCGGAGGAGCAGCAGTAGAAGTGGTCTCCACCCACAAGTAACTTGGGGTCCATCATTCCAAGGACGTCACTTGAGCCCAAAACACTTCTGGTCTGCCGAAGAAGACTCAACAACGTCTCGACTTCCTCTGGCAGTTATGACCTGCTTAACAGGGGAGCCTTGTCTTGAGGAGCTTCTACAGATGTGAGGTGGAGAGTGTCCTCAGTGCCACCATCACGGTGTGGCACTGTTGCTGCTCGGCTACAGAAAGGAAGGCTCTTCGAAGTACGTTAAAAGCTGCGGAACAGATTGTGCGGAACAACCTCCCCACAACCACAGACATATTCACCACCAGATGCAGAAAGAGGGCTCTTTCCATCATCGAGGACCCAGTCCAACACACACACACACACACACACACACACACACACACACACACACACACACACACACACACACACACACACACACACACACACACACTATACATCTCTCTCTCTCTTTCTGTCACTGGCCTTGGATTACCATTGAAGCTTTAGTTATCGTAGTTTTTGTTATGGGTCGGAAGAGAGGGAAGCCAGATTTACAATATTAATCAAAAATTGAAGTGAATTGTAGCATTCCATTTTATCTGTAATGCCAGCCAGGGATCATGTACAGAAAAAGGCCATGGTTGATGGAAGAACAGTCAAAATCCTCAAAGAAATTTTTCCAAAGAAAACAAAAGATCACAGCATGTTTTGTTTTTGTGAAAATAGAGGTGAGGTATATGCAAGTTAATGTGTAATTCTTGTGAGATCTTTCAACCAAGTCTCCCCTTCTCCACACATACCATATATGTTCCTTTCCTTTCAGTGCTATCTGATTTTAACGGGCTGGATATCAGATCCTTTGAGCTAAGCCAGTTGAGATAGAAGGTTTTTGATTTGTGTGTCTATCAGAGCTGATATAGAAAAGATGAAAGGAATTTGTGTCTTGCTTGCGTGCGTGAACAAAAACGAAAGCCATCACAGGGGGGGCGAGGGGGGCATGAAAAAAAGTGACACAATGTCATACTGTTGTTAAACTGATAATCAGAACAAATCCACAAAAATGCACTCGTACCAACATTTAACGGCAAAATCTCATCAGGCCACGAGGTGATGTTTGAATGTGCTGTCGTTATCGCGACATCGTTTTCTCTGCGGACTCACAAAAGTGTCCGCAAGCACAAAAAAGGCCTGCGGTCCGCAGGGATCGCTAACGACAGAGATTCATATCAGGGTTGTGGGTAATGATTGGAGGATGGGGATGCACTCTGTCAGACACCCACGATAAATGGCTCATGTGAACGAAAAGTCCTCCCCTTATAAGATTAATCCCACAGTTGCCTTCAGCAGTGCCCTGCTTCTGAAACTACCACGTTTAGACCCCGGTTGCCGCCGGTACTCACATGCACACACATCTTGATCATCCGGGAGTTATCCCTGATCGGGAATCTAGACTGCAACATATTGCCATAGCTAATAATGTATGCCTCTTGCATACTAAAACAAGACTACGCTGCACACCGAAACAAGGAGTTTCGACACATGGATCCAGTTTCTGCCCCGGTATATATTGCTGACCTACAGACAGATGACTGTATCAAAATAATTGACAGCTCACTAAGCTCAGTTTACAAGTGCTAAAGGCGACAGTATGACTTCATCCCACTGTGCCCACGATGACCTGTACATATTAATTACTCTCAGAGTGGACATGCCTGTCACAGCAATATTGCACATGCAATGCTTTCTTTGACTTGTATTCTTTTTCTCGGGTAGTGGAGTTGTTTTTGATGATATTACAGAAAAATTCGAGAACAATTCGGAGCACAAACATTGAATGTATTTCTGCTCTTTTGAAGTCAACCCAGTGACACTAGTATTATTCTAGGTCAAAAATGGATACATAGATTCGTACATACGCTAGTGTTGAAGGATTTTCATCAATCTATAAAATCAGGAAAAAGATTTCTTTAATTGAGATAATAAAAATGGCATTTCTTTACATGCATGTTAAATATCGCAATAATGTCTATCACAATATACAACACCCTTATCACATTTTTTTTCCAATATGGTACAGCCCTATTTCTGAAATTGTAAACCTTCGGTCCCAACAAAAAACTAATAATCAAATCAGTTGTCTAAACAGAGTCGTTTGGGAGGGCTTGGAAATAAAATATACTTCTTGTTAGTCCTTCACACAGCATATGAGCAAACATTATTGATGCTTGAATTGTTTTCCTTTAACCCCCCCCCCCCTCTCTCTCTCTCTCTCTCTCTCTCTCTCTCTCTCTCTCTCTCTCTCTCTCTCTCTCTCTCTCACACTCACACATTCTCTCACACTTGTCGCAAGCTGATTTCTGTCACCAATCAAGCGCCTTTTTTTCCCAACCAAATTAATTCTTTCTAATTTGGAGCTTGCATTGGTCAACCCCCTGCGGTGCGCTGTGACTGAGCTCTGTGTGTCTCTGCGTGTCGATGTGTGCGCGTGTACGTACATTTTGTCTGCGCATGAAGTAGGAACCGTCTTCAATAGATCTTAATGAAAAGACGGACTGCAATCAGTACATTCTTGTCAGAAATCATTAAATCATTTCATTCTCCCCTCTCCTTTTCTCTTGCCCTTCTTCTGGTGATTAGCATGCTAATGATACCACCTTGATTATGTCCATTAGACAAATTTGACATCTGTGCTCTCTCCAGCCTTTTAGTTGTAGAAATTACCGTTAAAAAAATGCAATACCCCTTCTATCTTCATTAATATGGCGTTTTTAAAAAGCATGCTCATTTAAACGTATTGTCCACCCCCCCCCCCCCAAAAAAAAAAAAACATTAAAAACACTTGTTTTTATTGAGGGTCTTAATTTCATTTATATCAAATACAAATGTGGTCTGTCTGAGCATTATTATGAGTTGAAAAACAGCAATGTGGGATTTCAAGCTTTTTGAAGTCCTTTAACATATTTATTTCATTGTAAGCCTCCAGCTATTTTCACTTTGTCGGGTTTAAAGGACAAGAAGGCATTAAACAAACACGCACGTGCATACATGCCGAAATGGAATGGGCAGTTTCAAAAGGAAAAAAAAAAAAGTTCTGCATTGCGTGTCCGGAAAGAGACACAGCAACAAAACACCATGATAATCAAGTCAACACATGAAGACATTTATAGGGCTCCAAAGTTGCTTTTGGACCCTGTCACGAATCCCTTCCAACGTTTTACAATTTTACCATCCCTTCCTTGTCTGTCCTGTGCCTCTTTAGGAGATGGCGAAGATATTGAATCATCCACGTGTCTATGCCTTCCTTCACGTTCCTGTGCAGTCAGCCTCTGACAGCGTCCTCATGGACATGAAGAGGGAGTATTGCATTGATGACTTCAGAAGAGTGGTTGACTTCTTGAAAGAACGGTAAGGCAAGCTGTTGACCTTTCGTGGACTTGTGGTATTGAAGGGAGACATGACCTTAACGATGTTTTCATCTTCCATCAGTATTGCTGTTTGGTAAACCTTTGAAGATTGTTTCTCCCCCCCCCCCCATCTGTTGGCAAGCCTGACTTGGCTCAAATGTATCTTGCAGTGTTCTTGTGTCTGCAATCTTTGTGTGTTTAGCACCTGATTTGAAAATTGAAATGACAACAATTCACGTCACACAGTCCCCCCCTCTCGGTTTGCAGCCGACCGCCCTGCAGGTGCATCATGGGAATAAAGCAAACATTTCACGAGCAGCAGAGGATATCTACACCAACATAAAATAAAAGAGTGATAAACCTTCGGATATTCCTAATGTGCAAATAGTGCCCCGTCTGGCCTCGTAATATTTGCACACTCTGTCGTATCACTCGAACAATTTCGCACATACTAAATGCCATCTTATCTTTAAACGCTCTGCTCTTTCGTTCATAGTCCTTTGCTCATATATGTTGTCCTTATGCCTGGAGTGAAGTTTATTCCTTTTATTGTATTTCCCTTCGATAATGCTTTTCTGACCTGTGTGAAGGAAACAAGTTTCACTGCTGCATTAGCACTGTTTCTGCAGTGCATGTGACCATACAGTTCTTGAAGCTTAATTTAGTTTTCAAACTGCACACTGACATCACTGTGGACAATTTCCTCTCCAAGCCTTACTTTCTAGTATATAAATATTACGATAAAACTGGACTCCCCCCCCCCCCTTATGGCATTGTGCACAAAATAAAACGTAATGTATGTAAAAATAATCAGTTTGGCTGTGATTGATTGTCGCCGTGCTCAAATTTCAATAATATGACATTAAGAGATTCATACGAAAATGGGTTGAAGGCTCATATCTGGCTCAAATCTCTTCGTATTACAGAGTGATTTAGGAGTAAGATGTGTATATTATATGCAAGGATGTTATTGCTGTTGCCAGATGATAACCTCTTATCCTTAAGTAAGCCTTTCCCCGGAATTAAATGGCTAGCATGCATGTTTTCAGATAAGCAGTCTATGAGGTATTTGTGGTTCAACACAGTGTTTAGTTGACAAATACAGTACGACTTTGTCATTGTGCCAGTTTGCTCTTATCTTTTATCAAACCTTTTCTCCTGTTGCAGATTAAATATGTTAAGGCAGATATAGCTTGCCCTAAAGCAGGTGAAATCCATTTATTTTACAATTGAGCGCATGTATATACACTCTGTATCTTTTATTTAGGTCAACAGTAGGCTTAAATATAAGCTGGATGGTACAAAAAAATAACAAATAAGACACTGATATTGTCATCTTGGATCACTATATTACAAGTATTTTAGTTTCTGTTCATTTTATTTGGTATGGTCACATTTACAATATATTTATAGGTCTCACATAAATTTCCCAATAGTTTGTTTACCTGCTGTAATTTTGCTCATATAGTAAGTTATTAAAATAATAATTTGATAATCTTCCATTTTCACCATGCAGTATGGGTCCGTATGACACACATTTTTGGCCTTTACATTATACAAGGTTCCATAACAGCTGACCTGTAGCCGGAATCGAATCTTGCACTTCTGTACTGTGAAGCGGACATGCTAACCAGTTTCCACCGTGCCGCCTTATTATCAACCATCCAAACAGTAAATATTGTATGTTGTATTGTTTTATATATATATATAAAAGAAATCATATGTAAGCAATCCACAAAAGCATTAATAGTGAGGCTAAACTGTGTGTGTGTGTGTGTGATATATATATATATAACTCACCCATTTCCCCTACTTCTACAGTTTTACCATGCAATCCTTGGTTTGGTTTCATTGAATGAACAGTTTAGAAAATGTGACCCATCTGGTCTTTGCAATTTACAGTTTATCTAACTCAAGCTTCAAAGATTATTTGGTATTGGGAGTGTTAAACTCAATGCTTGGCATGTTTACAGTCCCACATTTCTCTTGAGAATTTATGTGAGGTTTAAAGTTTCCTTTTGCTGTGTCAGTAGTATGGCACCATTCGTTATGTCAAGCCTATCTTTAAGTTTTGTAGGCATCTGATTCGTCAGAGTCTATCTTTCACTGGGGCTGAAAAGCGAACAATTCATTTTTTTTTTCTGTTCAGGACTGACGCCCCTTTAACATTGACTCTTGTCTTGGTATGTTGATTTGTGTCTTATGGAACTGTTTGACCTAGTAAAGGTCTCCTCCGCTGTCTCCCAAGTTGTTGTTTTAGTGTTCAGATGAAATTCAACACAGTGACACTAATCCGAAAAGGTCGTGACAAATGTCTAAGGAGAAGCTTACCACACTCAGTGCATCTCATCATAAGATCTTGTTTATACTGGCAGACTAGTCCGCTGTGCAAGTTTTCTTTGTATATATTTATGCGCCGTCAGGCTGTTGCTGGCTTCTGTTACCTAAACATAATGTTGGTTAAGTGAACTCAGTGTCGGTACTCATCTCGTAGTTGGCCCAATTTAGCTGGAGCAGTAATAACTGGGAGGCAACTGTATGTCTGGGAGAGAGGCCAGGACAAGCCAAAACACACGACTCCTCTGTTGGATGGCGCAAGAGCGTGTGAGTTCAACCCAAAATTACCGGAAAACAAAAAGTCACAAGCAATGAAAAAACTAACAGGGATGCACTGAAAATTCACACATTTTCAACTGAAAATGGTCCAGATGTGTATTTTCGGTTTTGACCTGAAAGAATTTTTGTCACCAAAACAACATGACCGGATGAACAGAACATTAAGCAAACCCTTTGTGGGTTGAAGTACGGAAGTCCGTCCTCTTGCTTCCGGTTGCTAGCAGGCAAGTGGTCGTGGTGCATCACACCACCGTGCGGAAATGAACCAAGAATTTCCCTGCCGTTGGCCGGGCGCGGGAAGGCCACTCCTGGACTGAGTAGCAACAGTGCTGAGCTTTCAACATTTTTAAACCATCTCTCTCATCTTGGGCAATAAACTACTCAAAATTGTGGGTATTCCGATAGATTTTAGGTTATCATTATCAAGAATAGCAAAGTTCTTGTGATTTATTTTTTTTTTTTTTCATCTGGCAGAGAGGCTCGAGCCAACACTTGCTACCTTAAATCGACTCCTGCCTCTGATTAGCTCTTGGAGCAGTCAGCAGATTTTGTCTAGTGTTGTTACTTGCATTAAGATGGGATCGTGTTTTATGACCACTTTATGCAGAAAATCCAGGTACAGTCTTTCCCCAGTGTTTGCATCATTTGTCTTGCAGCTGTAATTACGCCCCAACTTGTTTAGAGGTCCTTGCAAGGTTCGGAATACCAATCCTGTGGTGAATGTTTGAGTCATGAAGTGACTAATTCATGTCTCCTCACTTTTAGGTGCTGTTTGTCAAAGCGGACAAAACCTGAAAGGGGATTCCCTTGTGTGTGTGTGTGTGTGTGTGTGTGTGTGTGTGTGTGTGTGTGTGTGTGTGTGTGTGTGTGTGTGTGTGTGTGTGT